AAAGTAAGACGAATTTAATTATTCCAGTGTTTTATAGTGTTGAAATAAACTTTATACAAAAGAGTTTTAAAATAAAAGACCGTCATAATGTATTAAAAAACTTAAGTATACGTCAAAAATTAAAGAAAATGGCGGCTAAAATAAAGTTCTATAAAGACGAAATTAACAATAGACAAAAAACAAAAAAAATATAGAAAACCCGCTATTTTTAATTAAGTTGAAGAAAATTGGAGCTTTAAAACAAAAAAAAACATGGTCATAAGTACTACAAAACTTAGGTTATGTCAGAAATTGAAAAAAATGGCCATAGTAAGACGAAATTAACTAGGTATACAAAATAAAAACAAATTAAATGAAAAAATCTGTTATATTTAATTAATTAAGAGAATTTTAGAGTTTTAAAACTAAAAAAGAGTGTCATAACTACTAAAAAACAAAAATTTCGGTTAAAATAAGATTTTACCATGTCGAAATCAACGAAAACAAATAATAAAAATAAAATTCTGTTATTTTTGTTTAATTTGAAAATTATTAGTTTTAAAAGAAAAGAAAATCGCTGGATGTACAAAAAACTTAGGTTAAGTCAAAAATTAAACAAAATGGCTACTGAAATAGGGTTTTACAGAAAATAAAACAAATAAAAATCTAGAAAAAACCTGTAGTTAAAATTGCATAAGAGAATGCACAATATTCATATAATTTCCCCTCAAACCTCCTTTCTTTTACGAAATTGTGCTTCTGGTGCACCTCCATGCAAGTCAATTATACACTTTAGAAAAAATTACGGTTATTACACGCTTGTAATTCCTCAAAAAAATTTCATTTTACTCATTGTGATGCATAAAAATTCATTAAATGAAAGTTAAAATTTAGATTTTTTTCAAAAAACTGTATGATTTTTTTAATCACCACCTCTCATAAATCTTATCACTCAATGAAACGTGTGCGATTTGAGAAAACGTAATTACTTATCTAACAATTAATAACTTTCTACAACGAAATTATGCAAATCGCAACACGAATCGTTAAAAACACCAAGTTTACACACTTTTTCTCGAGAAATTATGCACCTGACATAAAATGCGTACTCACATTACGTCTCCACTTCCACCAGAAGTGAAACAACAACAACAAAAAAAGAGTATAAATAAACCAATGGTAACAATAAAAATTTAGTATCACAGCCGATTTCACCACCAAAACATGAAACTCTCAAGTGTATCAATTTTGATTGTGTTTTACACAACGACCCATGCTGGTATCATCACCCATGACCATCACGAAAGGGCCCATTCGTACCAAAACATCCACATGGAGCACTTCCATCCCGTCCCAACGTACATAAAAAAAGAAGATAGCCACTTATTAAACCACCCAATTTCCATTGGTACCAGCTCATCGAAGGTGGAAATCCACCATGGGGACAAACACGACCATGGATACGCGTTTGCAAACGCTGAAAATAATCTTCACGATTTTGAAACAGATGGTAAATATAAATAAACAGGAGAAAATTTCTAATCAACTTTCTTTATTCTAGGACACGAAACTGATGGTACTTACCAAGTCCACGACCTTGAACACTTTTCCGGACTTGGGGATTCCGGACACGTCCCGGAATAGCAGTAATTTATTTTAATTTTTTTGAGTTCAAATAAAATGTTTTTTGTATTTTGTTTATTAACAATTCTTTTTCTTTTGAATGTAATTTTGTATTTTTGCTTTTATTTCGGTTAAAAAATAGTGCCGCCACTGGTTTTCTTATTGTTACCATGACAAAACTTATTTGTTGCTATGGTTATATAACGTTTCTATGACAACTATTCAAATCTATTCACATGTGCGACTCGTCTAGAACGGAAAAAGGGGTTTTATTTTTAGTTTTTTTTATACAGGGTAGTGGTATTCAACTTGTCGTAAGTTTCCATTTTAAAAAATGCAAAAATTGATGCAAAATTTTTCCTTTTTTTTTCAATATGTGGTTATTTTTGCTACTCTTAGCTCAAATTCTTTAAAACAATATAGTAGATTGTGAAGAAGTAACCTCAAATTTAAATTCAAAACAACAAAATCACCCTGTATATATATGTTTTTTAATTTTGAAAATACTAGTCTTCCAGAATTTTTATCATTAACACTGGAAAAGTAAAATTTTGTGCATTGGTAAATAAGAATTTGATTTATTGTTTAATGTTACACAGGGTGTTTTCGCTAGAGGTATTCAAATTGTGTCATATTTTTTTTTTAATTTTAACACCCCATGTTTTTTTTATTTTGTTTACTAACAATTCTTTTTCTTTTGAATGTAATTTTGTATTTTTGCTTTTATTTCGGCTAAAAAATAGTGCCGGCACTGGTTTTTTCATTGTTACCATAACAACACATAGTTGTTGCCATAGTTACAGACAAACTTTAGCACGTTTCTATGACAATTATTCAAATCAATCCACATGTGCGACTCGTCTAGGACGAAAAAAGGGGTTTTCGAGAAAAATTAAGGCAAAAAAACATTACATCGAACTGTTACACATACAAATTAATGCCAAAAAACTATATTTTATTTTTAATTTCGTAAAACACTAGAAAAAACAACAAGAATTTGCTCTATCGTCTGGTGTAATTTTTATTTGTTTTTTTATTATACAGGGTGCTCACTACAAATATTCATTTGAAATATTTATTTGGGTTCAAATAAAATCCAGTTTCGTTTCAATTTTTTATTTAGAAATCAGTCTTTTGCTTCAGTTTTCGCCGTTTTTTTGGCTAACTTGTATCACACATAGACAATCACAACATGCACAATTCCACAAACTTTTCCAAAAATTTTGCATGTAAAAACGTTTTAGTTTATCAAACTAACTGTCACGAATACAAATTTTGGCGCGAAATTATTAAAAATATAATAATGCAGTCTTAAAATAGGAGAAACCCTTTTTTTTTTTTAAATATCAAATAATTTCATCTCAACAAAAATCACAATAAAACACTATAAATCTGCCAGCAGTTAATACGATTCTAACACACAAAGCTAAAAAAGTATAAATTAGTCAAACTAGGCCGACAGTACGAATAAAATAATAATAAAAAAAATAAAAAATAATCACAATTAAATTTTGCAATATTAAGGCCCAAGTGCATGTTCCATCATTTGCAAACATAGAGATTCTAGACTATTTTCGATATCCGTATTTTTTATTTTCTTATTTCGATCACTTTCGCTATCTTCAAAACGTACATGAAACTGACTATTATTATTATTATTATTGCTATTTTTCTCCGATGATGGATGATGATTTTTAAACATTTCGACACTTTTTACTACCGGATATAAATCTTTACGAAACGTTACACTACCCACCGAATGTCTATGAGGATTTATTGTTGTTGTTGTGGTAGTACTGTTTTTTACATTCGGATACGATGAACTTTTTTGTGTATGGGTCTCCTGAGTGAATGTTGCCAGGGGCATTTTGCACTGCCACCCGGACCTGCGCAAAAAAATTTATTAATTAATTAACTTTAGTAAATTTGATGACTCAAAGAGGAAAAATAGTGCCGCCACTGGTTTTCTTATTGTTACCATGACAAAACTTATTTGTTGCTATGGTTACATAACGTTTCTATGACAACTATTCAAATCTATTCACATGTGCGACTCGTCTAGAACGGAAAAAGGGGTTTTATTTTTAGTTTTTTTATACAGGGTAGTGGTATTCAACTTGTAAGTTTCCATTTTAAAAAATGCAAAAATTGACATTTTTTTTTTTTATTTGGACACCCCATGTTTTTTGTATTTTGTTTACTAACAATTCTTTTTCTTTTGAATGTAATTTTGTATCTTTGCTTTTATTTCGGATAAAAAATAGTGCCGGCACTGGTTTTTTTATTGTTGCCATAACAACACATAGTTGTTGCCATAGTTACAGTACAAACTTTAGTACGTTTCTATGACAACTACTCAAATCAATTCACATGTGCGACTCGTCTAGGACGAAAAAAGGGGTTTTCGAGAAAAATTAAGGCCAAAAAAAAAAGTTACATCGAACTGTTACACATACAAATGATTAAATAAGTAATAATAATTAATGCCAAAAAACTATATTTTATTTTTAAATTTTGAACTGAATTTTTTTGATTTCGTAAACACATTGATCAACACTAGAAAAAACAACAAGAATTTGCTCTATTGTCTGGTATAATTTTTATTTGTTTTTTTTTTTTAATTATACACCCTGTATAGCACCCTGCTCACTAGAAATATTCAAATTGTGCAACTTACAATTTTTTTTTAATGGAACACACCCTATATTTTTTTATATTTTCGTATTTTACTAATAATTTTCTTTCTTTAAAATAAATTTATTTTTGGAAAAAAAAATAGCGCCGGCACTGGTTTTCTCATTGTTACCATGACAACACATAGTTGTTACCATAGTTACACACACGTTTCTATGACAACTACTCGAATCTGTTCACATGTGCGACTCGTCTAGGACGGAAAAAGGAGTTTTCCAAAAAAATTAAAGCAAAAAAAAATACATCAAACTGTTACTTTGCATTTTTTGTGATTACACACAAAAATATTTGTTTTTAGTCAATTACTCTGTCGACATGTTCAAAATTATCAATGCTATTAATTAAATAATAATAATGAATGCCATAAAACTATATTTTATTTTTAAATTTAGAATTAAATTTCAAAAATACATTGACTTAAAGTTATTCTATCAACACTAGAAAAAACAAGAATTTACTCTATCGTCTAGTGTAATTTTTATTTGTTTTTTTTATTATACAGGGTGCTCACTAGAAATATTCAAACTGTGCAACTTACAATTTGTGTTTTTTTTAACGGAATACATACCCCATATTTTTTTTATATTTTCGTATTTTACAAATAATTTTCTTTCTTTAAAATAAATTTATTTTTGAATAAAAAATAGCGCCGGCACTGGTTTTCTCATTGTTACCATAACAACACATAGTTGTTGGCATAGTTACACACACGTTTCTATGACAACTATTCAAATCTGTTCACATGTGCGACTCGTCTAGGACGGAAAAAGGGGTTTTCCAAAAAAAAAGTTACATCAAACTGTTACTTTGCATTTTTTGTGATTACACATAAAAATATTTGTTTTTAGTCAATTACTCGGTCCACATGTTCAAAATTATCAATGCTATTAATTAAGTAATAATAATTAATGGCATAAAACTATACAGGGTGCCTCAGAACTCGCGCCCCAGAGAAAAATTTCAAGTAAGATGAGATACCAGGAATATGGAAAAAATGTTAAAAAAATTCTATCTGTCAAAAAATTTTGACATTTAACATTTGTTTAATGATACTGATGATTTTGTATAAGTTTTTTTTTATAATTATTTAGTAAAAGTAGAAAAATTTTGGCAATAAAAGCTACAAATAACAGCTTCCTTGTTTCCTTTTCTAATAGCCTGTAGCAAAAAAAAACTTGGAAAATTATTTTTTTAAGAGAAATAAATGGAATCAAAGTACAAAATTTAAACTCTCATAACTCATAATTGGGGCGCTAGTTCTGGCGCACCCTGTATTTTATTTTTAAATTTAGAATTCAATTTCAAAAATACATTGACTTAAAGTTTTTCTATCAACACTATTTTTCTATAACACACGATTTTTGTTTTAAATGCAATTTTAAATGAAAATAATTTTTGGATAAAAAACGCGCCGGCACTGCTTTTCTCATTGTTACCATAACAACGTATAGTTGTTGTCATAGTTACAGTCACATTTCCATGACAACCATACGAATTAGTCGCCATGTGCGACTCGTCTGGGCCGAAAAAAAGGGGGCCTTACCTCGAATTGTTGCCTTGCATTTTTTGCGTATACACCGGCACGTGATTGCCTTTAGTCAATTGCCCTTTCCACATATTCAGTCTTCGTTTTTGGTCATCACTGAAGGCTTCTAAACCATCCGAACGTTCACAAAGATTAACAAAAAGCATCAAACATTCATCGGATGGTTGTCTCAACATTAAAAGTTGTGTGCACACTAGAAAAAATTATCAAAAAACGAAAAAAAAAAACCTCAAATCAGTTACCTTTTCCCATAACTTTGACAAATTGTGAAGGTAAATCCTCTCCACTTGTGACTTGTAATGGTGTTTGTAAAACACTTTTAAGTTTTTTTAAAGCCAAATTAAGATCACCACCATTCATAACTTCAGTCTCAAGTTCAGTCAACATTGTACTACGTTCTTTAAGTTTAGCAATACTTAATAATAACTTATGTCTGGCCCCTTTCGTAATACCAATCGCTTGTAATGTATCATCAGATAAATCCAACATTTGTTGATAAGTGAGGTTATGAAACACCCAACTATATTTATGCAGTCTTAATGATTTCAGCCACGATAAAATACTCTTCATTACAGGTAAATTACTCAAAATTTGCAAATCTTGTAGTCTAGTCTCCGAACTACTCGATTGCAACGTTGTTAAATTAACAAGAGTTTTATCATTCGACAATGAATAACTCCTAGGTTTTGGGGGCGGTTGTGAGAGATTCTCTTGTGAGGACCAAACCTCCCTCAAACTCTCATGTGAGCTGGTTTGCGTGGTCAAACTATTCGACCTGCGCCCCCCTCGCCCCAAATCCGTGTTTTCAGGACTTGACGACTCGTCACTGGACTCGTGTATAAAATTCTCGGGACTGACCCGATTCAAAACCTGCTTTAACAAGTGCTTAAAACCCCTCTTATCTTCCTTATCAAACGCGGGATGTATGAAAACATACGACATGATTTCCACACACTCGTTGTAGATCTTGCATGGGGGGGCGATGAATTCGGCGAGGAGGCGTCTTATTGTCACCAGATACGAGTTGGCGGCCTCCTTGTTGCCCGGCTTGAGGAGCGGGAGGTGCGTGAGGAGGAGGCCGAGGGCGTTTTGGGGGTGCTCCATGAGGAGGCGCGCCACGAACACCGAGTTGTTTGCGTTGCGTTCGAGGGCTTGGGCCTCGGGGGTGGAGGCCGAGGCGATGCATTGTTCCAAGGCGTGTTGCAGGAAGCGGGCGTTGGCGAACGGCAGCCCCGTCATGAGGTAGTAGAGGGCGACGGTGCGTTCGCAACTGTCCCATTTGTGGAATTTTAAACGGATTTCGTGTAATTGTTCGCAGAATTCGGAGAAATCGCGCATTTGGGGTGGTGAGGACTCCATGTTGTAAACTGGGGGGGAGAAAGACAGTTGGGGTTTGAAATGGGGGTTGTACTCACGTTTGGGGCTATTTTAGCATCACTTGGGGCCGATTTTGCATTGAAAATAGCGATTGTGGAGGCAGGCTTGCGTTTCGTACACACCCAACAAGAATGAAGATAGAAGCTGTCAAAAAACATGGCTGGGGGGAAAAAAAGTCACTAAAAAACAATTACAAAAAATGATTTTATTAAATTAAAATTAATTGTTTGGCGTAGTTGTTGCAATTTGGAAGGTTAGATTTAGAGACAATTTCTGTTTTTGTGATTCCTTGAAATTAAACCCGTTTATTAATGCAAACATTGGATTTGTCAAGTTGGTACGGTTTTTAGGGGAAAAAAATGTCTCTTTTTAATTTTAAAATTCCGAATTTGGTTTCAACGCTAAATAAACGCTAAATAACTTGTTTTAAATATTTTTCGGTATTGGAAATGAAATCGTGTTTTTTTGGGGTTTTTAGTGACTTTCGTCTCCCCAGTTTTTTAAATCTCACAAAATTTTTACTTTAAAAGATCATTTTCGAACCAGCTTGGTCGTTTTTTTGTCTTATTTTAGCAAAATTTCAGTTAAATCAATTGAAACAAGTCAAAATAAGACTAATTTCGATCTAATTTGGTAATTTTTACATTTGCTTTGATGAATTTTTTTTTTTTAATTCTTGTCATAAAAACGAGCTTTTTCGGCTCAGTATTAATAAAATCTCGCCATTTTTGACCAAATTCGGCAATTTTGCTAGAAAAATTAACGAAAAAAAGGTCAATTTTAATTTAATTCGATCATTTTCGGATTTAAAAAAATCTCACAGTAATTTTTAGTTAAAAAATGCTCTTAAAACTTCAAAACACAAAAATCATATTTTAGAGATAATTTTACACAATTTCTCGTTAAAAAAATCTACTAAAAATTGGAAAAAAAGCAAAAAACGAGATGAATTTTAATCCAATTTGCTGTTTTAACAAACTCTTGAAAATGTGCTTAAATGCTCTAAAAAATGTAAAAAATAACGAGGTTTTAAAATTAATTTAGTAATTTTTAGTTCAAAAAAAGCGTTTAGAAGTTCAAAACAATACAAAAAATATCATATTAGACATAATTTTAAACAAAATTGGAAAAAAAAGCAAAAAACAAGATGACTAGTACAATTTATTTCCTATAGGTTGGTAATGGCGATTTTCAGCGACGTTTTCTCTTATTTGACACTTCAAACTTTGTGACATTTACTACCAACCATCACTGTATTAGGGCAAAAGTTCCTAAATTTTGAAAAATTTACTTTTATTTACCACTCGATTTCGTGTAATTGTTCGCAGAATTCGGAGAAATCGCGCATTTGGGGTGGTGAGGACTCCATGTTGTAAACTGGGGGGGAGAAAGACAGTTGGGGGTTTGAAATGGGGGTTGTACTCACGTTTGGGGCTATTTTAGCATCACTTGGGGCCGATTTTACATTCAAAATAGCGATTGTGGAGCCAAGCTTGCGTTTCGTACACACCCAACAAGAATGAAGATAGGAGCTGTCAAAAAACATGGCTGGGGGGAAAAAAGTCACTAAAAAACAATTACAAAAAACATTTTTATTGAATTAATAGGATTAATTGTTGCTAGTTGTTGGAATTTGGAAGTTTAAATTTAGAGACAATTTTTGTCATTGTGATTTCTTGAAATGAAAAACCGTAACTGTAATTACGATTATTATTAAAAACCGTAACCGTAATTACGATTATGATTAGTATTTTTTTCAAAGTTTAGGTTTATTGTTGCTTATGGGAATTTGTTATATATCGAATTTTTAGTTGGTTTCTATTAAACCAAATTTTTCTTGAGCTTTTCTTACAAAAACAATTTTTTTTACAGAGACATGTAATCTTTCTTTTAGCAATTTTTGAGTTTAAATTGTGTTAACACGCTTAAAAACAGTTACTAAATGAAAACATTGTTGTTTTTTTGCATTTTTCTCAGTATTAAAAGTCGTAACCGTAATTACGATTATGACTCTCTCAGTATTAGAAACCGTAACCGTAATCACGATTATGATTAGTATTTTTTTTAATTGTATTTTCATTGTTACTAATAGGGATTTGTTATATAACGGATTTTTAGTTGTGTTAACACGCTTAAAAAAAATTGTTAGTAAATGAAAAACATTGTTGTTTTTTGCATTTTTCTCAGTATTAAAAGTCGTAACCGTAATTACAATTATGATTTTATCAGTATTAAAAACCGTAACCATAATTACGATTATGATTTCTATTTTTTTTAAACTTTAGCGTTATTGTTACTAACGTTGTAAAAACAACATTTTGACTGATTTTTAAACAAGTTTTTAATAAAAACACAGTTTTTACAGAAACCTGTAATTCAATTTTATGTAGTTTTTGGGCATAAAACCATCCATTTAGAGTCAACACGCTTGATTTTTTTTTTAAATATTTCCAAATGATTAACGCAAATGTAACACAATCTAAAAACCGAATTTTTATTTTTCCCAAACCGTAACCACTCGTAACCGTAGACACACCAACCCGTGCTGCCCTCTACCCCCACGTAACCCCAGTCACAAAACAAAGGTGGAGTAGCGTTGTGTTGTCAGAATGTTTTATTTGGTAAGTTTTCACTGCAATTCTCCCAATTTGAATAAAATAGTGACGCAAAATCGAAATCTGATGCGTAACAAAATGCAACGCCCCATTTCCGCTTGCATAATGTTGAAAATCGTATTTTTGCGTGCAAAAACCATGCAGCGTCATGGCGTCGTAAAATTCCTGAAAATGGCGGTATTTTTGAATTTGCAAAATTTCAGATGTGATTAATTATGGTTGATGGTTGCAGAGTATTTGCGTCTGAAAGCGAATTGCGTCCATCCAGACATGACAAAGTAAGGGTTTCCCCGAAAATCATTATCAACAAGAAATTTTTTACGAGTTTATTGTCGGAACCACTTCACGCCATGTACAATAATAACGTAAGTGGGTTTTTTGGTGGGATTTCTTGATTAAAATGTTGGTTTATAGAATCAGTACTCGGGTCAGGGGTACCAGAGTACCTACCCCCAGTACCAACAGAGCTACAGTTCAAATTATGGGTATGAGGGGTACCCTCAGAACCAATACTTGAATACGGTAAGTGGTCCCAAATCGTTATTTGGTTATAGTTACTGTTAAGTTTGTGTCGAGCACATTTCACAAGACACCAATTTTACAGAAAATCAACAAAAATCATCTGAGGTTATTTAAATAAAAATTAAAGTAAATTAGTTTGCACAATGGAAGTATTAAGGTGACAGTAAGTGTGTGTAAGAGTGTCACTAATGTCACAAATTTCATTATTATTTTACTTTAGAATGTTCAACCAGTGCCCCCTGGTGAGGAATACCCGCAAAACAATTGGGCACCGGTCGGGGGCTACCATAACAACGTTCCAGCACAGTCTTCGAGCACTTTTGAGGGAAAAAATGAAGACGAAGGTTAGCGAATTTCTACCCCCATTTATATATTTAAAAAAATAAATAAATTGTGTAATTTTTTGTAAGGTAAGTTGCTTTAATTACAATTAAAGCAACTTGCATACGTTTTATGGTTTGTATTTTTTTGTATTTAATTTCTTTAATAATGTATTTTCGTAGGCCGGAATATAACAGAGTATAAAAGACAGGACCAACGATATTTATCGAAAATGGTTACAAAATGATTTGTATTTTAGTTGTGTGTCATTTTTTTTTGACTTGGTTTTATTTTATAGGTGTGGCACAAGAAAGGAAAGCACAGAACGCCCAATTGATTAAACAACGTGAAGAATATGTAAGAAAAGCGCGTGTTTTACGAAGAGAACTTGAACTTCTACGCAATCAAAAACATGAAATTATGTCAGAAAATTCCTCACAACGTGATATGGAAAAAATTTTGAAGGAAAATGTCAAATTACAGGTAACTAGAATTGTGTTTTTTTACATATCCGGGAGTAATTCCATGTTGAACGATCACAAATTATCTAAATATTTTTTTTGCGTTAAATTGGATCAAAATTTATCTTGTTTTTTGCTTTTTCAGTTCGTTTTTTTTAACTAGAAGCGAAAATTTTGGTAAAATTATGTCTAAAATGATGTTATTTTTTTCTGTTGGTTTGAACTTGTAAGTGCATTTTTGAACTAAAAATTTTTGTAAGATTTTTTCTAAAACAGGTCGATTAAAAATTATTTTCGTTTGTTTTTTTCGAAAAATTGCGTTTAAACTACCTGAAAAGCACCGAATTTTTGTGAGATTTTTATTAATATTGTGTCAAGAATTTAAAATTTTGTAATGCAAATGTACAAATTATCTTATATTTACTTATTTTTAAATAAAATTTTGGTAAAATTAGACAAAAAAACTGCCAAATTGGTTCGAAAATTATCTTGTTTTAGTTTTTTTAGTGTTGTGTTTTTTAAAGATGAAACCAAATTAATTTTAAAATTTCGTTATTTTTTACATTATTTTGAGCATTTAAGCACATTTTCGAGAGTTTCTTAAAATACACGAAATTGGATCAAAATTCATTTTCTTTTTGCTTTTTTTTTCCAACTTTGTTTAAAATTATGTCTAATATGATAATATTTTTTGTATTGTTTTGAACTTCTGAACGCTTTTTTGACCTAAAAATTACTAAATTAATTTTAAAATCTTGTTATTTTTACATTTTTTTGAGCATTTAGGCACATTTTCGAGAGTTTGTTAAAACAGCAAATTGGATTAAAATTCATCTCGTTTTTTGTTTTTTTTTTCTTCAATTTTTAGTAGGTTTTTTTTAACGAGAAATTGTGTAAAATTATCTCTAAAATGATGGTTTTTGTGTTTTGAATTTTTAAGCACATTTTTTAACTAAAAATTTCTGTGAGATTTTTCTAAAATAGGCCGAAAATGATCGAATTAAATCAAAATCAAAAACTTGTTTTTGAATTTTGAATTTAAAATTTCGTCAATACAAATGTAAAAATTACCAAATTAGATCGAAATTAGTCTTATTTTTACTTGTTTCTGTTGATTTAACTCGTAAGTGAAATTTTGGTAAAATAAGACAAAAAAAATACTAAATCGGTTCGAAAATGATGTTGTTTTAGCTCTTTTCAGTGTTGAGTGTCTTTTTTAAGGTGAAACATTTTATTCGCGAAAAAACACCAAATTAATTTAAAACTCTCATTATTTTTTTTACATTTTTTAGAGTTTGTTAAAACAGCAAATTGGATTAAAATTCGTCTCGTTTTTTGTTTTTTTTTTCCAACTTTTAGTAGTTTTTTTAACGAGAAATTGTGTAAAATTATCTCTAAAATGATGATTTTTTGTTTTGAATTTTTAAGCACATTTTTTAACTAAAAATTTCTGTAAGATTTTTCTAAAATAGGTCGAAAATGATCGAATTAAATCAAAATTGACCTTATTTTCGTTAATTTTTCTTGCAAAATTGCCGAATTTGGTCATAAATGGTGATATTTTACTAATCCTGAGCCGAAAAAGCTCGTTTTTATGCTAAAAATTTAATTATTTTATAAGATTTGATCAATACAAATGTAAAAATTATTAAATTAGATCGAAATTAGTCTTATTATTTACTTTTTTCTATTGATTTAACTCGTTTTTAAATGAAATTTTTGTAAAATAATTAAAAAAACTGCCAAATTGGTTCGAAAATGATGTTATTTTAGTTATTTTCAGTGTTGAGCGTATTTTTTAAAGCAAAAACTTTTTTTTTCTCGAAAGAACACCAAAATTAATTTTAAAATTTCGTTATTTTATAGAGTGGTTTGAGCACATTTTTGAGAGTTTGTTAAAAAAACACCAAATTAGATCAAAATTTATCTTGTTTTTTTTTTGCTTTTTTCCAGTTATTAGTACCTTTTTTTTAACGAAATTGTGTAAAATTATGTCTAAAATGTTATTTTGTGTTGTTTTGAACTTCAAAAAAGGGTCGAAAATGATCGAATTCGATCAAAATTGACTTATTTTCGTTTATTTTTCTCGCAAAATTGCGTTTAAGCAAGCTGAAAACCACCGAATTGGGTCAAAAATTGGCGTTTTTTTGCAAAATTTTACTAATACTGAGCCGAAAAAGCTTGTGTTTGTGCCAAGAATTTATTTTATAAGAAAAAAATATATAGCGAATTAAACCGAAATTAGTGTTATTTTTTACTTATTTCCAAGTTTTTGAGTGGGAGTTTGGTAAAATAGCACAAAAACCACCAAATTGAGTCAATTTTTCGAGTTTTTTCTTGAGATATTGTTATTTTGGAATAGTTTTGTTCAGTGAAATTTATTGAAACTGTTTTTTTTTGTGATATCAAAAATCGACATTTGGCATGGATTTACTCCCAGGTAAAGCATTGGACGTATTATTTTGTTCCATAGCTAAAATTAGTAAAAAAAAAATCGCCCTTCGAATTCATTCGCAGGATGTGTAAACACAACCAGTATGTATATTGTTTTGATTTTGCGTTAATCCCAATAATTTTTCTAAAATTAGAATTTGTTTTATTTCAGGACGAAATCCAAACTAAAATGAAAGCAATACATAATGTCATTGAGATGTTATCAAGTATTATAAAAGACGGTTCGAAAATATCAGATCTCGAAGCTCAACTCGATGAATCCCCAAAAACACATCACAAAAATCATATAAAAACTGATTCAATTGATCCATCATCAATCAAATATAATTATATGCATTATGATCCAGAATTGCATTGGTGTCGAATGTGTGATGAATTTCCTAAAACGGCCAAAGATTTTCTCTTACATTTACAATCTGATAAACATCGTAATAATATACAAGAGAATGATGTTGGTGATAATACACCATGGCATAAATTATCACCAGAACCGGAACTTCCTTGCTATGAAGGCGCCCCCAAAAAACGTATACCAATTCGAGGCTTACAATTTTTTATTTCCGCCCCTGCATGGTATTGCAAACTTTGTGATACGTGGATTGGTGATTTGCATTGTGCTTCACATCATTTAAAATCGCAAGCACATTTTCAAAATTATGCGGTGAGTTTTGTGTTTTTTTTTTTTTGTGTGTCATTTAATATTAATTTTTTGATTTAGAATTTTGTTGAGCAAAATCCTCATTGGGAAATTGAATGGTTGAAAGATCGTGAAAAAGCAATGGCACGTAATGAAAGACGTCGTTCATCCGATTCAGATTCGGATAAAAAAAAGAAGAAACATCGTAATAAAAGATCATCAATGGAGTCAAGTAATAAAGATAAGAAAAAGAAGAAACGTTCAAAGAAACGTAGAAAACATTCCAGTGATACTAGTAGTAGTTCAAGTACATCTGATACATCAACCGATGATGATGAAGAAGAAGAAAATAATGATAAATCGAAAAGTATTCGTGTTGTAATGCGTAATATGAAAGTACAATCAATAATGAATGAAGATTTGAGTGGTAAATGGGAAATGTTAGAACGTCTAGTCGACGAACATAAGAAAAAAGAAGAAATGCAAAAAAAAGAAGATAATTTAATAAATCAATGGATGACTGTAAGTGAACCACAAGAAAAAGAAAAAGTATTACTTGATAATTTGAAAGATCGAATGAAACAAAAACAGGAATTGGAAAGAGTAAAATATGCCGAAATGGAAAAGAAACAACGTGAAAAAGAACGTGAAGAAAAGGAAATGAAAGAGAGAAAAATGAGAGAAGAACAAGAAAGTAAAGAACGTTATGAAAGAGAAAGACGTGAACGTGATCGTGAAGAATATGAAAGAATAAGAGATAAAGATCGTAATCAAGTGAGATTTAAACCGAAAGATCGTGAGAATTACAGAAAAAGAAAGACACCGTCTCCTAGTCCTGAAAGGCCCCCACCACCTGAGCAACAAAGACAATCAAAAGAACGACGCGAGACACCAAACAAGGAAGTGTCAAGGTATAGCCCCCCTTTTGGTGTTAATTTTTAATTTAAAATTGTTATTTAAGGGAAAGGAATGGAAGAGAGAGTCAAGAGCGTCATAATAAAAGTCGCAGTCCTGAATCATCAAAAAAGCCCCCCACTAAACGTCTCCCATTTATTGGTCGAATGCCACTTTTTAAAAATAAAAAAATTGAAGAGAAAGTCGAGAAAGAAATCAAAAAGGAGGATTATGATCTTCCTCGAGTGACTCGTTTTCAGCCTGGAAATCTAGCACGTGCATTCCTCCCCCAACCTGATGTTGTTTGTTTTCCGAAACTTTCGAGTTATCCCCCGATTTCGGCTCCTCCACCACCAAGTGTCACTCAACCGGATCCTCCAGCACCACCGAAAATAAGTGAAGATCAAACACCAAAAGCACCACCGGCTCCAAAAATTGGTTCGAGTGAAAGTAATGATAAAAATAGTCCGGAAAAAGAAGAGGATATGTATGAGGATCCGAGTCAAATGATGATGAATCAATATTATTCCGATTATAATGCGATGTATTCACAAATGTATGATTATTCGCAGTGTCAAGAAGAGCAACCACAACCGCCGCCTCCAGATGATATTCCGTTATCGCATACTATGCCCTTGCAACCGCCCCCATTGCCCCCGAATGATCCCAGTGAGGATTTAGCGATGTTGGGGATTAGTGCTGATGATATGGCGGCTCAGAGTTTCTAATTATAGGTTTTCTTTTTTGGTATTAGATTTTAATTATTTTGCTGTAGTTTGGATCGTAATATGTTATTTGCCTTAATAAATGCGTTTCTTTTGTAATGTGGGTTTTATTGATTTAAGCGTGTTAACGCAACTTAAACTCAAAAATTGCAAAAAGCGAGATTACAGGTCTCTGTAAATAAAATGTCTTCGCAAGAGAAATTACACGAAAAATTTATTTTCTAAAGAAAACTAACTAAAAATC